TTCAGTGAGTTAGATTTCTGACTGCAGAGCCAGAAGTTGGGAGTTTGATTCCCTACTATGCCTTCCAGGAGTACTGCCACCCTGTGTAGCTTTGGGAAAGCTACACAGCCCCAGAATGTCCCAAAAGTACTTCTGAATAGATATGGGCTATTCGTATTCGTATCCCTGGGGATATGAATACGAATTGTGGCACCATAAGTGCCATGGAGGCTCATTTCCTCCTCCACAACCAGCCGGCCCACTCAGTGTTTACCATGCGGTGGTCAGCTCTGCCCCTGTTGCGCCAACCATGGAAGGAACCTGGATGGCTCTTCCCCATCTTCCTGCGCAGCTGACCACTCATTGGCTGACCAAGACACTCCTTGTCCCACCTCCATTCCGAAGTGGCCGGCTGCACCATGACGATGGAGATCTCTGAAGTATCTTTCATCCACAAGCAAGATGTTTCAATTGAGATCTCTGTATACTGTTAATTTTTCAAATTCTTTATCTTCAACTCCAGCATTCCCTGGCATTGCAATGTCAATGTTCCAGAGATTTCTTCATTCTATTACTACTATGTCTGTTGTGTTATGTTCAAGGTGTCTGTCCGTTTGGATCTGGAAATCCCATAAGATCTTGACTTCCTCATTTTCTGATACCTTCTCTCCCTTATGTTCCCATGGGTTTATGGAGACTGGAAAGTTATATTTTTTGCATAATGACCAGTGCACTAATTTTGCCACTCTATCATGTCCAACTTTTGTAATCTGTTTGTGCAATCCTTGGACATTCACAGATGAGGTGTGACACAGTTTCATCTTTTTCTGGGCAGAGTCGACATTTGCTGTTAGCACTAATTCCTTGGATCATAGCTTTCATCATGGAGTATAATCTGTTCACATCACTTTTTGTATTTAGTGTGTGATGCATATTCATTAGTTTCCATGTTTTTCGATCCAATTCTTCCAATTCGTTTTGAGTCCTATTTATCTATTATTCCAGCTGGGTATCTAATTACTGGAACTGCCCATATGTTTATGGCTTTGATTGTATTTCCACCATTTAATTTTAATTTTAATTTTTTCCACAATATTTTGATATATTCCCTTTCTGTCAGTTCTTTAACTTTTGTGTGCAGTTATCTGCTTCTAGTATTCCAAGGTATTTATAATTTTCATCACTTGATAGAGATGTTATAATATTGCCATTTTTAACTCTATTCCATCTAGTTTTTTGATCTTGCCACGGTGTATAGACAGAGCTGCACCTTTGTCAATTCCAAATTTCATTCAGATATCTTCACTAAACATTTGCACTGTATTTAGCAGTGATTCTATCTCCGTGGAATTTCTTGCATATAGATTTAGGTCATCCATGTATAACAGAAGATTGATTTTTCCTGCTTGTTCTGAAATATGGTAACCCAATCCAGTTTTACTTAAATTATTGACATGGTGATTAGTGAGATGTTAAACAGCAGTGGTGACAAAGAATCTCCCTGAAATATTCCTCTTTTGATGTTAACTTCCCAAATTTCTTCACCATGGGCCATTAAGATGGTTTTCTGTTTTTCCATGTTTTTCTTGAGGAACTCCTGAATGTTTTTACTAACATTTTTAGGTAGGTATTAATCTAGCTGTGTGGCAATGGATTTCTGTTCTCAGGCAGAAGCAAAATTTAGCAAATGGAGCTGTTCTTAAGTTGGATTGTTCTTAAGTAGGGACGTTCTTAAGTAGAGACCCCACTGTAGTGGGTTCACTGCCCCTTTGAGTATCTTTTTTTAAAATCAGAAATGTGTGTACTGTTGTCATCCAATCTTCAGTTGTAGAATTTTAAAGTAAGTGGTTAAATTGCACTGTTATACGTTGATGGAGACTTGTTAGATGCTTTAACCAATATCCGTGCAGCTCATCTGGACAGGTGCACTCCAATTTTTCATATATTTTACTTGCCTCTTAATCATTTCAGTTGTTATTACAATATCGTTCCATTTGTTTTCCTTGAGTTTCTTTACAAAAGTCCTTGATCATGAGGTGTTTTTGTTATGTCCAGTTGGGCACTTCCCACATTTTCCAAAATTTTAGAGCATCATACTTACACGGGCCTTGTCACATACAGCACTGATGGTACCTGTCTGTCATGGGTTTGGAGGGAAAGTTCCATCCTATGGGGAGTGGAAGGCGGGACATCAGGGGGGAGGAGCTGTACTGTATATAT